GCAGGAGAGAGCCCGGAGTTGAAGCCACTGTGCTGGGATTGGAGCTGGGGGGGGGGGGGGGGAGGAGTGTGGGGGGGAGCAGAAGGATAAAGCAGCTGCAGGTGATCAGTTTGTTTCTGCCAGGTAAACGAAGGCATTTAGGAGATGGCTAGACTAAAAGCACACTCTTGTTTTCTTATGACAGTATGGAATCCTTATAGTTTTGAACCAGCAAGTACCTTGTTCTCTGTTGCCTTATGATTTTTTTTTTCTCTCCTTCTGCTAATGACACAGCCTGAAGTTTGAAAGTAACCCCCAGTGGACAGACAATTCCATCCTGCCTTGTTGGCATGTGGAGCAATGACCCCCTCCCCCACCACTGTCCCAGTAACAGTGCAGGTTTGAAAACCCCAGGAGGTTCCTTTTGAAGCTTGCACCTGCTAATGAGCTAGCAGGGAGCTGGCCTTGGGTGGGGGGGGAACTGTCTGCCTTGGTTCACCAGCTGCTCCCTGGCTGTTGATTCTTGGAGACACTCACCTTTGGCCCTGCAATTAGTGCTGAATCACAAACTCCACACCACGTTCCCCTCATGCTCATTCCTGCTCAACGTACTCTGTGTATGTGATAGTGCCTTCAGGAAGGCAACCAGTTTCTTTTTTTTTTTTTTTAATTTTATTTTATTTTATTTGAGAACATACTGTACAGAGGGGTTACAATTACATGGGCAGGATAATGCATACATTTCTTACCAAGCATTGCAGCCTCCTCCTTTGTTTACCCTTCACCTCCCTTCCCAGCCTCCCCCCTCCCCCCACCCAATCATACCCCCCCTCCCCCGCCACCGACATTGTAAAGCTGGTTTTGACATGACATTTTGTACTTCTCATTGTTGCAACAGGTCCACCTGAATCCTTAAACAACTTGTTTGTCCCCGTCTCCTCCATATGTTATACTGACATCAAATATAGTGAAAGCGGGGGTTACACTGTGGGGGAGGGACATACAAAGCAACAAAGAAATAATATTATAAATGCGTTAGAAACACATGCATGAAAGAAACAAAAACATTAAAATACATATTTGAGGGTTCGTTTTCCTAACATCACATTCTCTGACTTTTTCCGCTTGACTCATACCTATACTAGATATTGCAAATAAGGGAAACCATGGGACCTATGTTTCTTTGGGCCTGGCTTACTTGTTTCGATGACTGTATTGAAGTCCCTGTTTTGTAATCACATGGGAAGGCAGCCAACCAGCAACGGAGCAGGCACACACTCAGGAAGATATCTTTATTTTTCTTTTTGGTGCTATTAGAATTTGAATTCAGGACTCTATACTTGTTAGACAGGTGCTGTATGACTTGAACTACACCCCTCAGCCTCTTTGGCTTTGTTTTTCAGGTACAGTCTTGACTGGTTTTGCCCTAGCCAATCTCAATCATGATCCTCTTACTTATAGTTCCCATACAGTTGAGGTTGTGGGCACATGGCACCATGTCTGGCTTGTTGGTTGAGATGAGGTCTTGCTGTTTCCCCTGGGATGACTTCAAACTGCAATTGTCCCGATCAGTTTTAATCATTTACAGACCTTCATTGACTTTTTCTTCCAGAAGCAAAGCAGAATTACTGTAGAGGCTAATAAGGAAATGTAGAGAAGTAATAATGGAAGGAAAACACCCAGAATTCACTCTCTCAAAACTATTCACTTAGACTTCTAAACTTTGGCGTGCACATGTCATACATAGTTGGAAAAATTAGGGCCATACTTAATACAATGCTACATTTTTTAAACTTAAAATTAGGAAATGTAGAGAACAATTTGCCATGAAGAGGGCATTTATAGAATGCTCATTCAAAATCATTGTCTGGAAAAGAGAGCTGACAAGACTTTTTGTGGTCTTGCCTGTTCTGGAAATGCAGGACCGTGACAAGAGAACCCAAATGGCTGCTCCAACCCAAGACTTGTTCCCAAGAACCAATTGGATGATGAACCCTTCTTCAGAAATCAACATGAATGAGTCACAAAAGGTATGATGCTCAGGTTCTATGAGGAGAGGGATCCTGTTCTCCCAAACCCCTCCAGGCTAAAGGGAGAGAGGTACTGTGGCCGGCGTCATCATTGGAATGCTTTGCCATCTGCTCAGGTGGGGAGAAGCACAGTTGGCCAGCTTTGTGGTCTAGATTTACCACTCAGAGTCCCGTGTGTAGAAGCCTTGTGGCTGGTTTCACATTCATTGGTCACCTTCTTAATGTTCTCTATTTTTTGGTAATATTTGGGGTTTTTCACTCAAGGTTTTGTGCTTACTAGCTAGGTGATTTACCACTTGAGTCATACCTCCAAAGCCTTTTTAGCTTTATTTTTTTCAGGTTGAGTCTCAGTTTTTTTTTTTTTTTTTTGGCCTTGGTCAGCCTCAGACCATACTCTTCTAGCTCATGAATAAAATCAGAAGCTGCAAGTTCCTGTATAGCTAGCATCACAGGTGTGTACCACCATGCTGGTCTTATTTGTGCAGATGGGATCTCCTTAAGGGTTTGCTTAGCATTTGTGATCCTCTTAATTATGGGGATTATAGGCATGAGCCAAGGCATTCAGTCTCAGTACTTTGTTTACTTTTTTTTTTTTGGTAGGTCATGGGGCTTGAACTCTGGGCCTGGGCGCTGTCCCTCAGCTCTTCAGCTCAAGGCTAGCGCCCTACCACGTGCACAGTGCCACTTCTGGTTTTCTGCGTGGTTTATTGGAGATAAGAGTCTCATGGACTTTTCCTGCCGGGGCTGGCTTTGAACCAAGATCCTCAGATCTCAGCCTCCTAAGTAGCTAGGATTACAGGCGTGAGCCACGGGCACCCGGCTTTTGTTTCCTTTTTGACAGGTGTCCAAGTTTTCTTTTTATAGTGAGCCATGCCCAGAGATGCAGTTGTTCCTGAACACAGCTCTACTTCTGTGATGGTTCTTCGGAGTTGCAATGTGATCACAATGATTCATCACACAAAACCATAAGTGCATCTACATGCTATGACATCAGCTCTCTGAACTTCAATAAAGACTGGGTCATGGAAGGCACTGGAAGACTGAAGATCTATTTCTCCTTGACTTTGCTCCATTTGTGTTGGGCATCTTAGTAACTGGGATTTCCAAACCCCTCTATTTAAAGACAATGAGACCAAATAGCCTGGAAGAAAGGTGTGTTGCTGCTCTTTTTTTTTTCTTTTCTTTCCAACTTGTCCTTAAATCTGTGATTGTTTCAAACCAGGGAGGAGATGAAGTGACAGAGGATGAAGGAAGCTTTCTCCAGTTAGATGACATCTGAGCAGAGACTTGAGGGAGCAAGTCCTGGGGTGGGAAGAATCATCTGAGAGGAACAGAATGTACAGAGAGAAAGGAAAATACCCGGATGTTTAAGGACATTAGGGGCCAACAGGCTGATGCAGAGGTGGGACATAAGACAACCAGACTTTTAGAGGATCGCTCTGGCTTCTGCGTGGGAATTAGGCTGTAGAGAGGAGGCCGGGAGACCAGGTGGGGCACAAGAGGCATCGTTCACGCTCTGATGGGGAAACTGGGCTACAGAAACCCCTTGGAAGGCTGCGCAGCCTGCAAGGCCCCAGTGCCCACATGGCTCAGCCCCACATCTGACTGTGCCCACATCCCAAATGGGGCTGCCTTTGGAGACCTGCCAAGGGGTGTCTGGCTGCTTGCCAGAGGGCACTCTTGATCACGACTAGCTGGGAAGGTTGAAAAGCCATCTGGCTGCATTTTAACCTAATTTTTCTATTATTTGGCATAGGCATGAAAAGTATCATTTTACATTCATTATCAGAGATCCAAAGGCAGGCTTTGAGAGAAAGATTTGCCGCTATCTGATCATGTCCTATGACCCAGGGCTCCCGCCTGACAATGTATAAGCATGTTTTGGGGGGGGGGGCACTGGGTCTTGATATGCAGTCTAGACTGGCCTCAGACTCAATATTTGTACCCTCCTGCCTCAGCCTCCCGAGTGCTGAGATTGGAGCTGTGCGTGACTTACCTGTCTACATGTTATTTGTCCTGGGCAGCAATGGCATCCTCAATTAAATTGGTTCTGTCCTTTTTGCGTTGCTGCAACAGAATTCCACAGAGTTGGGAATTTACAAATAAAGGGTATTTGTTTCTCACAGTTCTAGAGCTGGGGGGTTTAAAGTCTAGGGGTCCGGGCCTAGTGAGTGCTTTCTTGCTGTTATACCATTGTGGGAGGTGGGAGGGAGAGGGGAGGGGAGAGGAGAAGAGAGGAGGGGAGGGGAGGTGGGGAGAGGAGGGGCGATGAGAGGGGAGGAGAAGGGAGGGGAGGAGAGGGGAACCCCCTGACTCAAGCCCTTTATAACCAGCAGAACTTGCAAAGACCCTATTAAACCCCCTCCCCTTACCTGATTAAGTATGTCAACCTCTGAGTTTCCAGTCAAAGGGAGCTTGGTGAGAAATGAAATTGGTTCACTCTCCAGATTCACTAGGTGAGGGATGTTTGAGAGCTTGTTCCCCCCCCCCCCCATCTTTCTCTTCCTTTGAGGGTCACGCAGCGATCTTAAGGACATCACTAAAAGACAATTTTGCATTCAGCCAGCGATGACATCTCTTTCTAGTGTATGATAGTTGTCTAGTGTATGATAGCGTATGATAATTGTTCAAACATGACAGACTTGTGGTCGTGTATCAAACACATTTTGAAAATCTAAGAGCAGATTCACATGGGAAGAACAGCTCTTACAAACACGAATGCTTTAAAGTGCATTTCAGATGGGATCCTAAGCTCCGAAAGAGTGAATCCCCAGTTTGTAAAGCAGAAATCCTGCATGGCTTTGACACAAAGCCCGTGACCTTGGCTAGTTAGAGCTGAGTAGTTTCCAGGTCAGCACGTGGATGCTGCTCTGGCAGACAGAGCTGTGGAGAGTTATTTTGTTGGCTTGGTGATTTCAGAACTGCTTTTTAATTCTGCTTCTGGTACTTACATTTACTAAGTAGTGTGATTTAGCTTCTAAAATTTTTTTAGGGGAGAGTGTGTACACAATCTCCCACTACCCAAATTATGCAGCTGAGTTTCCCCTATGTGGGGAAATCACAGAGGTCAGTGCACCCCGAGTACAATGGACAGGCCTTACCCTGGAAAAACCACCTGCAGGATCACGGTGTTTCCCCTGCTAGGTAATTTTGGGAGGAGAGATATATTGCTCAAAGAGTGGAGATAAAAATAGTGTCAATGTGCCGGGTGCTGGTGGCTCATACCTGTAATCCTGGCTCCTCAGGAGGCTGAGATCTAAGGATCAAGGTTCAAAGCCATCCTGGCAGGAAAGTCCATGAGACTATTATCTCCAATAAATTATTAAAAAAAAAAACAACCTGGAAGTGACGCTGTGGCTCACGTGGTAGAATGCTAGCCTTGAGCAAAAGAAGCTCAAGGACAGCACCCAGGCCCCGAGTTCAAGCCTCATGATTTGAAAAAAAGAAACAAGTATCAGTGTGATAGTTTCCATGTACTTTATAAGGATCAGTGTGATAGGTTACAGGTGCTATCCAAACTCCGTAAATTATCAACTGTTGTATAAAGAAAAGGTGCTACCATATTACCATCATAAAGATCTTTATACTTTCCTTATGAGGTGAGCATTATTAATGTCAGCATTATAATTTTTTTTCCATTGGGAGATTTGGAATTTAGAGAGATGAAGTAAACCAGAGTTTTCACTTTTAAGCCTAAGTTCCCCTTGTGTAGCACAGGCTGGTCTTGAACCCACTGTACACAGTGGATTCAAGTTCAGGTTAGCCTGAACTCATGACTCCCTCTGCTTCTTCCTCCTAATTGCTAAAGACTCCAGGCTTGCATCATCAAATTCACTAGAGATCAAGCGATTTATACAATAATACCATAAGATTGATAAGGTTACCATAAAGACTTAGGTGTTTCAAGTCTCACTGCACTGTCTTTCTAATAGAACAGTCTCTCATTCCCAAGCCTCCAAGAACTTCAACACATCAGATTAGTAAGCATTTAGTTCCATATCTGACCAACACATACTTAGAACCAGTAAGGAATATAACAATAAGCAGAATTTATAGTTTTGTTTCTATATTATCTAGAAAACAAAAAAAGATGCATAGATCACCTCACCAAACCACGTAGTACTCTTGAGATGATAGATTCCCAGCTTTCTAAATTACTTTTATATTGAGACAGGATCTTGCTATATTGTCCCGGCTCATATCCAACTACTGGACTCCAGCGGCCCTTTGCCTCAGCCTCTTGAGTAGCTGTGAATACAGGCATGTACCTCCACACACACACACACACACACACACACACACACACACACAAGGGCCTTTAATTGAATTAAAGGCAGGTTCATGAGTTCCATAACATCTTTGGAGGACCGAAGTAGAGTCTTTAAAGATTTATTTCATGTGGGTTAAATTGGCACAGAGATGTTTCCCTCTGTGGAACTTCTGATTGTCTTGAAAGGAAAACATTTTCAATTCATAGGCTGGTGTCACAGGCCAAAGGTCCAGCGAAGCACAGAATTCATGATGGCGAATGTAGAAAGTCCTCCAGCTCTCACAAATCAACTTACCATGGTGATCACATTCAGTAGCAACCAGATGGGGGGATTTTGAACTTGGGTGTTTCCCTGAGCTGGTGAGTCTGTCAGGATTCTGGGCAGTACCCCAGTCATGGGGAAGCCCCCTCTCCAGTGGGCTGTGCAGCTCTGTTAGATGTTCAGTAAGGTAAGGGGCAGTGAACGCATTTTCAGTCTCCTGTGTGTCAGTTTAAGGTGGGTTTGGCAGGATGTAGCCTCCTAAGTCAAGGCATCTGTGCTTGTGAATTTGGTTTCATGGTCCTGAAAATGTCAAAGAGCGATCGCCCAGAGCTGATGTTTGCAGCTGTGCAGCCATCTGGGAGGGCGAGCAATGGTATCACCTTTGAGGGCCACACGGGGGCATTTGGGTTATGAGGATCTCTCCTGTGAGTGAAGGACCTTCCTCTTTCTCCTCCTTTAGCCTTCAACTGATGTGCAGCCAGCTATCTCCACTGGAATACGGGTATTAAAATTGTCCCCTAGACACTAGGGCAGAGACCTTTGCCTAGTGAAATACTAATGTATAATGCAAGAGGAAGGGAGGAGGGAAGGAAAGCAAACCCAGAGAACTCTCTCATCCTGCCAGTCGCTTACCAGCTGCACAAACACTTGGTTCCCAGACAACATGCATGCATGGATTAGAGTGATGACTGTCAACTTTTTGCTTTGTAAGGAACCACTTGAGGTGGGGAGGGGGGAATCCCTAGATGCGAGGGCTCCATAGCCCAGCCCTCCCCTGTCCATGACTTGCGGGAGTATGATGGTGAGATACTTTGTACAGTGCAGAATTTTCTTTCTTATAGAAGGCCCTGCTATTCACTTTTATTTCTTAAGTTTAGATTTCCTTGTATTTGATTGCTTCAAAGTCAGAGATATAAATCCACATCTGAGCTCACAAAGCAGTGTGTGGGCACTAACAAGGCTCTCCAGAGGAGCAAGCCTGTTCTGATTCTACACGACCCGCCTCCATTCAGGACATGACCATGGCATGGCCCAGTGATGGGCCTCAGGTCCTGCAAAGAAGAAGGCCACTGGGTGTGTGTTGAACTGTGCCATCCCACGGTACTGTACCCCCTGTCGCACCCCACTTTGTAGAGCCCCAGAAACTACCTCCTCCAACTAAAGGTTTCATTAAGCTACTAAAGGTTTCATTAATCTACTAGTCATTTTTCTTTTCTTTTTTTTGGGGTCCGGTCGTGGGATCTGAACTCTGGGCCTGGGCACTGTCCCTCAGCTCTTCAGCTCAAGGCTAGCGCTCTACCACTTGAGCCACAACACCACTTCCAGCTTTTTCTGCTTATGTGGTGCTGAGGAATGGAACTCAGGGCATCAGGCATGCAAGGCAAGCGCTCTACCACTGAGCCACCTTCCCAGCCCCAAGTAATTTTTTTTATCTTTCTTCTTTCTTTGTTTTTTTTTTTTTTGTTTGTTTGTTTTGGATCCAGTCGTGGGGCCTGAACTCTGGGCCTGAGCGCTGTTCCTCAGCTCTTCAGCTCAAGGCTAGCGCTCTACCACTTGAGCCACAGTGCCACTTCCGGCTTTTTTCTTTTTGCTTATGTGGTGCTGAGGAATCGAACCCAGGGCCTCATGCATGCAAGGCAAGCGCTCTACCACTGAGCCACCTTCCCAGCCCCTCTTTCTTCTTTCTTGTGTGTGTGTGTGTGTGTGTGTGTGTGTGAGAGAGAGAGAGAGAGAGAGAGAGAGAGAGACAGACAGACAGACAGACAGACAGACAGACTCTATATTGAAAACAGATTTGGACAAATCCCCTAACTTATTGTTTATCCTATTCTTCACAGGAGAAGTTAGCCATTTGCTCATGCGACATCAGGGACTTTTGGTGCCCAGTAACCACATTAAAATTGTCCAGGTTCTCGTTAGCCTCTAGAATGGAAACTTGGCAGCATGTTGCCCAGTTAACCAAAGGTCTCCATGGTGCATTACTGTCACCTAGTGGTGATATATTGAAACACAGCTTCCAGATCAAGCACAGGGAGAACAAAGTCAAAAACAAAAACAAAAACACCCAATGCTCAAAGCTGTCATAAAGCAGAAGGATAGTCTGGAGTTAGTTCAATAATATAATGTACTTTAAAGTTAAACTTATTTTTTTGAGACACACAAAATCATGCTTCTGAAAGTGAGTTATCATCCAATAATATTAACTTTAAAAAGCTCAAATAATGAGAGAGGAGAGAGGGGAAAGAGGGTGGGGAGGTAGGGAAGGAAGGAGGGAAGGAATGTTTTGAAATTAAGCCTTTGCAGTTGTATTTGTCACTTGATAGGCGAGGAAACCGAAGCACAAGACTGTGACAAATTTCTCAAGTCTAAATCACCAGTTAGTGGTGCTGGCAAGATTGGAATGCAAGACTTGTCTTTGCTTTTATTGTGAAGTCAATATAACATTTGACATTTCTTAACAAATAGTGGCCAATCAGTTCATCCATAGTCCTGGAAAGGGCGAATCAGTGGGTCTGTCTATGTAAAGATACACCCATAGTTCATGCCTGCAATGCTAGCTACTCAGGATGTTGAGATCTGAAGATGGCTGTTCAAAGCCAGCCCAGGCAGGAAAGTCCATGAGACCCTTATCTCCAATAAACTACTCAGAAAAAGCCAGAAATGGAGCTGTGGCTGAAGGCCTAGAGCATTAGCCTTGAGCAAAGGAAGCTCAGAGACAGAGCCCAGGAGTTCAAGCCCCAGGACCAGAAAAAAAAAAGATACTATGGCACTGTCTGGTGGACTTGAGTTGTTTCACCTGCAGCAGCATTGGGAGTACAGTGATCTGTGTACCCCCTCTTCCACAAACAATACATTTTTGTCTGATGGTGGCTGAAGTCAGAGATAAGCATCTATGACAGAAATGGGTGAAGACATTGATCTATAAGCAAAAGACCACTTTCCAAAGTGTCTTTAACATACCATGTTCTCCAGGTGAGAGGCAGAAGAAACTGCTTGTGTGAAGGAGAGATGCGCCCCAGGTGGACTGAAGGAAGACGCTTCCTTTGTGAACTTCTTGTGTCGCTGACTCACTGAGAGACTATAGATTTATTCTTAGAATAATGCTTTCAAATGCATAAAAAGAAGATAGAATTAGAAAGGAAATCAACATCTTTAAAAAAATATGTGATGTCTAAGTAAATTGATGTCTTGTGAACATGTCTTAGTCAGCTCAAGTTGCTGTGTCAAAATGCCGTGAACTGGATGGCTTAGAGTAAAAAGTGATTACTCGCCATTTTAGAGACTGCATGCCCAGTGTGGTTCAGGCAGGTTCACTTCCTGACTTGCAGACGGCTGCCATCTCTCTGCCCTCCCATGGCAGGAGTAAGCTAGCTCTGGCTTTTCTTCTTCTTCTAACTAGGGCACAGATTGTATCACAAGGGGCTCAGATCTCATCTCCTTTAGTGACAGACATGATGGCTACCATACTTGGGAAGCATAGAGGAACATAATTGGTGTTTTGAGATCTTTGCCACATAGATGGACCATGCTATACAATATTGCTGATTTCCATTGGTAACAAGATCTCAGGAACTTCTAGTGCTTATTTTGATTTGTTGCCTGTATTCTTAATGGAGAAA